CGCCCATTACACAGAGGAGAACAGAGAGGCTCCCAGCAGGGCTGGGCCAGGATGGCCTGGGAGCAGAGGATGCAGGGTGTGCCCGCCTCAGGTAGGGGCACCGCTCGTCCTCTCCACCCCCAGCCTCGATGAACGGGGGAAATTGTGTTTCAGGCTCAAGTGTGACCTGAAGCCCAGCTGGTAGAGTTTGTCCCCGAGAGGATGCGCCTCTGTCCCACTGACTGTCCATCCGGCTCCTCTCAGACCACCCTGTGCCGGCCCCACTGTCCCTCCCAGCGGACGTGCCCAGCTCAGGGAGGGTGGGGCCAACCCCACAGAGTCCGACCCTGGCCGCCCGCACTGCGGACCGGGCTGTGCCCTTTCAGGCCGGCTCCTCACATCCTTCACCTGTAATACAGGGTCCCCCTTTTTCTGGGCTGGGCGCCCCTCCACATGCACAAACAGGTGTCCTCTGCACCGAGCCCCTCCCACCTGCTCTGTCCTTGGACCTTGGTGGCCCTGGGAGCAGCCATGCTGTCCTGCTGCAGGCTCAGGGCTTTGCAGGCGTGGAACAGGCACATCCGGGTGTGTTGTGGCTTCTGCTAGTGTTGCTACTTCATTGGTCACAATCTCCACCCAAACACACCGTCCACACCCAGGTGTTTCCAGAGACCAGGCCTGGGGTCCCTGAGAATCTCCCCGGTGCTGCCCCAGATCTTGCGTCCCAGGGAGGGAGAGTGGTGTCAGACCCAGGCCAGCTCCCCTGCTGCACCCCAACGTTTCCTCCTGTCATGCAACCAAAACACTCTTCTGAGTCCACACCCCACCCCAGCACCAGAGGGCAGTCTCCTCGCACAAACCCTGTGCCCGGGCAGCCAGTGTGAGGTCCCAATGCCCAAGGCCCGGTGTCCTGGGGGCCCTGGAAGGTGGCGCCCCCGGCCTACCCTGGCCCTCCCAGGTGCCTCTGCAGCCAGAGGGCAGCACCCTGGACTCAACTCTGCATCGCATGCCCGCCCGAGCGCATAAGGCTCTTCTGGGGCGTCTATGGGACCCAGGAGGGGCCATCACCCCAGGGACAGCACTGTGCTCCCCTGTCCCCGAGGCAGGTCTCACAGCCAGGACCTCCTCCCTCCCCACACCCCCTCCCCCCAGTCAGGCATCCTGACCTGCTCTCTGCTGACGCCTGGCTGCCCCTCTGTAATGTGGACCAGCCTGGCCCTGCTGGTCTCCAACCCGGGAGTCCGCTCTGCAGTGAGTGTGAGTACAGAGGCGGCCAGGAGAGCCCCGTGAAGACCAGGGGCCGCCATGTGTAAGAGGTTTGCACCTCCTCCCAGAGGTTTCATGTCTTGTGTTATTTGTCTGAGTCAAGTCTCCA